AACGGTCAGCTGAGCTGGCCAAATAAAATTCTCATCAACCAGCAAGTTACTGTTCATATAAACAAACGCAGCTGCACAAGTAGCTTCCCGACAAATCGAGGATTTTGTGCCTTATCCGGTACTGGTGTAAATTTTCAGGACAACTTCAGAATCTTACTTTGAGATTTTTGATCGATTCCACCGGTAGTGTCTTGAACTCAATTGCCTCGTTCTTCTTCGAAATAACCTCGACCATTGCTCCTGCAGTATCATCAGTATCATTACTCGAAATTTGAAAGTGGCCCGGGCGATAGCTCCAAGCGTATCAGGAAGAGGACACTATGCACCACTTTGTCCGCCTAGACTTCGTGGACCCTAATCAATAAGGCATCTTATCGTGGTTTAAGAGTGAAACGTTTGCGACAAGACTTTCGTGCACAAAAGACATTTCAAAACAGGTAAAGTCCACCAAGCGTATCTTTCAAAAGAACTGTTAGCCTAACAGAGACAAAATGATCATGAAAATTGCCGGAAGGCTGGCCATCAGCTTGTGAAGTAGTAATGAAAAAGTCAGATGCATATGCAGGAACCCAAATTATGAATTAAAGTCTGTTCCAGGTCAAATTGAGCGGTACAGACCACCATCATCCTAATCAGCAATACAGTATTTTTGCAGCTATGCATGAATCCCAAAATTTTAAATCCATGTTACTTAACTTACTCCGGAGAAAATCTTGAATTCAATTAAACACGACTCTGGATGTTTTTAGGTCTAGGTGTTGCGGAAAACCAGCGAAAAGTCGGCGAAGAAGAAACTGCTGCAGAGATGCACACTGCGTCAGGGAGGCACCCAAGAAAGGAAATGTGTGTTTGATAAACAGCAGGTATGCTCCCAAGCTGATTCTGGAGCACAAGGTTCGGTGGGTATTGGGCAGTATGTTACTTCCGGCTGTGAAGAAGAATGTTTCGACTCCCCCTCCCCTTGCCGCCCAGTCCAAAAGCATTTTCGAAAAAAGCGCTTCGTTCACGGTACAGTAAAAAGGAAGAACTGTTAAAAATCTCAGGCGATGAAAGAATGCCGCCACGGAACGGTTTTAAACCATCCTTTAAGTCGACATAGTGTGAAAACAATCGGTAAGCGCGTTTATCAGTGAGTAATGCTCGCGAACAAGTAAACTATCACTTTGGCGGCCTCGGAAATGACGGCATTTGCGATTTATACTATGCGGAGATATACCCAACCCAGGATCGAACGATCTGAAATATCCGTGTCTAGTATAAGAAAGTAATTCAGGCTGGTCAAAATGAAATTTTCCATACACCCACTGTTTGAAAGAAATTCCACATCCTAATCAACAATGACCAACATTTTGGACGGCCGGGAGGATCGTTGTTATGAAATCGAATGGGAAAAGAAAGTACATTAAACAAAGTCGAGGCAAGCGTTGCATTAGAAAGAGGATTTTCAATAGTCATCAAAATTCATAAATTGCTATTTATGTGGGATGGTGACGGACTTGATGATTGCAATACGGCAGGTGCGGAGCACAAACAGTTCCTCCTGCATTGACTGTCCTGTTAAAGCCCCAGCCGAATTTCTTTAGATAGTTTCAGATACGCTGAGCACATACACATAGCGGTGTGTCGGTGGGAAAAATCTCGCATAAATTTACATTCTTAAGTTTATGCGTCTTTCTGCAAGTGAAATACGCATTGCGACAAG